TCAAGAAGAATTATCTTCCTAAGTTCAAATCTGGCCTCAGACACTAACTAGCTGTGTGACCCTGGGCAAGCACTTAATCCTGTTTGCCTCAGTTTCCTCATCTGTAAAATAAGCTGGAGAAAGAAATGTCAAACCATTCCAGTATCCTTGCCAAGAAAACTCCAAATATGAGGTCTCACAGAGTTGGATGTGACTGAAACAACTAAACACCAACAAAGAGAATGGCCAGGCATGGTGGGGCACATCTGCATTCCTTAATAGTGGGGAGATGGAGGCTGGTAGATCACTGAAGTTGGAGAGTTTTGAGCTGTAGCGAAGCTAAAGCCCATGAGGTGCCACACGAAGCCTGGCACCAATATGCTGAGCTTCTGGGAAGGGCAGGTTACCAGACTGCCCGAGGAGGGGATGAATTAGACTAGGGCAGAAATGGGAGTCAGCCAGAGTTTATGTGCTGATCAGCAGTTAGGTCAGGACCGTGAGCGGTCACTGTACGTCCAGCCTAGGCAAGGATAGTCTCAAAAAAGAAATCTAAAGCATACCAAGCACTAAACAAAGCGATAAACAGACACATTTTTTAAAAAATGGGATGGGATGGCTCTGGTCAGTTCAGCTCTGGCTCCAATAAATTCCTTCTACCTTCCTGTAAAAAAAAAAGTCTGGTCCAAACACATTGTAAAGTAAGCTTTATGCAGGATCTTAAGAACAGAAACTAAATGCTGGCTTTGGTACCACTTAGTAACTTGCAAACATGCTCCATATTTCATAGGCATAATAGTAAAATAAAAATTACATGGTTGGGTGTAACCCTAGAGTAACTGAGCTTAGCTCTTGTCAGAAAAGCAGTGCGTCAACCTTTTATAGAAGGTGATGTGTGCTTTAAAAAAAAAAAATTCCATCATCTTAACAGAGAGATCCAGAGACAATGAAGGCTGAAAAGAGAACAAAATTAATAAGAGGGCAAGAAAAATACTCCAAGAAAGGAGAGAAAACAGAAGCAGAACTGGAGTTATTTTAAGCCTGAGTTATTTCAAGATGGTTTGTGGAAAACAAAATCTTTTTTTTTAACTCAGTCTATGAACTTTTGCCACGCCTAAAATGAAACTCAAACAAAAGAGATAGCTACCAGATTACCACCTTTGTTTAGAAAGTTCAACTTGCAGGCGCAAAATAATACTCAAAAAAGATATCTCTCCAATTATAAGTAATTAAGAAAAACGGAGCATTAGAAGTATTTCCTAAATGAATATGGATCTCAACATGGGGTGAGAGGAGGAAGGTGGCTATATCATTACAAATTTATTTATTTTTTAGGCAATTGAGGTCAAGTGACTTGCCCAGGGTCACACAGCTAGCATCAAATGTTGGGTCTGAGGCCAGATTTGAACTCAGGTCCTGCTGACTTCAAGGCCAGTGCTCTATCCACTCCGCCACCTAGCTGCCCCACAAATTTATTTTTTAAAGTACTGTCTCAATTACAAAATTATTTGCTTAGATAGCTGAGATTGTACGCTTTCTCTCTGTAATACAGTGTTTTACATGCAGGGCTGTGGTTAGGGAACAGAGGTTGTATCCTTTATTTTACAAATAAGGAAACTGAGGTTTGGAGAAGCTGAGTAAGCTTGCCTATCATCATGAATCTAGTTAAGTATCTATGGGGAGCTTCAAACCCAGGTTTCTCCTGATTCAAAAATCAAGCAATCTTTCTGCTACATGAAGCTAGGCCCCTCTGAAGTCACTGTCTATGGGCACAGATGTATCAATAAATCAACAAGCATTCACCTACTATGTACCCCAACACTGCTCACCGAATTGAAATAATCCCAGCCCTCACGGAACTTACATTCTATTGTGGGAGAAAACAGTCAAAATATATCTAATATACATACACAGATTGGAGGACAAGTGAATCATAGAAAGTCTCATGTAGAAGTTGGTGTTTAAATAGCACTGTGAAGGATTTAAGAGGCAGGAGTAATGAGGGAATGCATTCTAGGTATAGGGAGGGTTGAAAGGGGGAAGAGTCAGCGCAAAGGAATATATTCCGTGGCCATATTTCTAATTGGTTATATTTTATTAGGCCCTTAACCTTTTTAATGGACCCCTTTGGTAGTCTAACGAAGTCTATACACCCCTTTTCAGAAAAAACGTTTTTGGATGTATAAAATAAAATACATGGGCTTCTTATAAAAGAAACTGAAATACAGTTCTCAGAAGAACATACAAAAGGTATAACCAGACTTTTCTATTTAATAAGAATAGCACATAGGAAAGTGTTTTCATCTTCAGAGAACTTTCCAGTACATTTTATTAATTAGCCCTCATGATGTCCCTTTCATCTGCCTGAATATAGCCAGCAAGCAGACTGATCCATAAAGAGCAGCAGTCTTGAAGGGGTCAGTATCAGAAGGTCATCAGAGTCAAGGCAGTCACTGGTGGCTCCACACTCTATACCAAGATACCAAAAGATCTCTGACAACAAAACGCTTGGCCCAAATTGCCTCACAATAGCCAGGATAATTAAAAGGCTTGAACCAATTAAAGACAATAAAAAGCTCAGAAAGTGGATACTGCGCATTTCTCTCATGGCTTCACATATGGATAAAAGCGGCAGAAGAAAGATGACCCAGATATATTATAAATAATTACAGAAAGGCAGTGAGGTATAGTGGAAAGTGTGCTGGCTTTGTAGTCAAAAGGTCCTGGGTTTAAATGCTGACTATCACTGACCACCTGTGGGGGACATCTCTTGGAGGCTGCTCTTCTCCAAAATGTGGGGATTGGGCTAGGTGACCTATAAGGTTCCTTCCATCTCTAAGCCAATGTTCCTATCATCCTGTCTCAAAAAGCCTTGTCTTTGTTGTACTAACATGCCTGAGGTCAAAGTAGATAAGACAGACCTTTTCATGTTATGGTGCAGTTAGGGCTACGGTAGTGAGTCAACATACTGGGGAAAGTTCCCCCCCCCCCCACTTCCTATTAAAGCAAAGTTTCATTTTCTTTTCAAAGAAATAGATTCTTCTTACTTCTAAAATATATGGATTTTTTAAAAAAGCCACAATCCTTTTAACTAATAAACACAGTCAAGCTACACAAATCCAAGTATTTGCCACGTATTCTTCAGCACCATGAGGCCATATTCCCTTCCCCCCCCCCCCGGAAATCAGTAGTATCGTGTTTCCATATCAGATCTGTGGAGTCAGGCCAAATTTCTTTTTCACAGATGAGGAACCTAAAGGTAAATCACCTTGCTGAAGTTCACCCAGCTCATATGTACTACTATTTCTTTAATATGCTGCTTCTTAGCAGAAACAGAAACACCAAACCTTGGAGTCTTCACCCATGTTAATAAGGAAGACATCTTTGTACCTCAAAAGGTACAGTTCCAAAAGCAAGATTTTACGCTATGCCTGCTATGTTGAACCCAGAATGGAATCCTCCCAGGGCCACTAGTCCCTGTCTCGGAAACTCTACTTGACAAATTTCTGGCTGCTTTGGTTTATAAATTTGGACCCTTCACCATCTAGCACCAACCTCACTTTATACAACAATCCTGCCAGACTGGGCGGCTATTCCGGGGACTCAACATTCCTTCTCTCGTTCATTCACTCAAGCAGGTTCCTGCTTCTCATAATCTTTTTCTTCCCTTAAGGCTCTGCTCAGAAATCAGCTCTTCCATAAAGCCATTCTTGAACATAGGCCAACTGGTAGCGTTCTTTCCTGGCAAACTGCTTCCTACTATTCGTTTTCAAATGTGCAGTATCTCCCTTCTCCCCAGTGAAAGATAAGGTCCTGGGGAGCAGCACCATTTTATTTTGTCTTTGGCCCCTCAACACCTTCCCAACATGATCAGTGCATGTAACTGGCACTTAGCGTGTGGTAATTGAGCTGAACTTGATTCTGTACATACCAGAGACTAAATTCAGCACGACGGAATCAAATTATGATAGAATGTATTCAAAGAAATTTAGAAATTTCAATAGCACGACCCATTGTCCAGAAGGCTGACAGATATTAAAAATAAATCTGGAGTTGGTAATGAATGGTTAAACCTGACTCTTTTTAAAAGCTTCCCTGCGTTTAACAGTACTGTGCAGCAAGATAATTATTAAAATGAAATCATCTGGGTTCTTAACGACTTGGAAGAATTGCTCTAACATCACCTGGGCAGGGGGGAAAAAAAGTAGATTCTCCCCTTCAATAATAATAAAGGTATAGGCTGGTTTGGAGCTGTTCTTTTTATCAAAGCCGTGTGATTCTTTCGTGACTCAACACGCACTGCTCTCTTTTTTTTTTTTTTAAATAACATTGGGTAAGATCAGCTTTTTAACAAGCTTCAACTTGACAACAAACAAGGCGTGATTAATATATTAAGGCTTTCTTAGATTAACTTTTTCATTACTTGGCTTCAATGGCAATGAAAGCTAAAAAAGTTTTATGCTACACAAAGCATAATTTTGTTCAGTTTAATCAAATATATTTGTTTACCAGGTTGCTAAAGTCAACACAATTCAGTTTGACAGGGCATATACTTGTCAAACAGGGTTTTGGTTGATTTTGGGGGCATTGTTTTTTTTAAAAAATGCTTTGTGTTTATACATACACACACTACATACATATACAATACATACATACATATGTACATATACACATTTTTTTCATTGGGTAGAGAAGGAAGAATATGTTCAGAAATTAAGCTAATTTAAATACAAAAGTCATCAATTTTTAAAAAGAAAAATAAATTAAATTCTACCCCCAATCTTCCCAACTCCCTTCCCCAGCCTCTACCCTCACTCATTCACTGGGTATTTTTTTAATGTTATATATCTATATATCTATATCTATATCTACATCTATATCTATATCGATATCTATATCGATATCAATATCGATACAGATATAGATATCTATAGATATCTATAGATATCTATATCTATATATGTGTGTGTGTATATACACACACACAGATAGATACACACATATGTATGCATATATGTGTATATATATGTACATATATATAAAATACAATCTGAGTGCTACAAGGAACTTCAAAAGTCATCTATTTCTACCTCCTTAGATGAGGAATCACTAAAAACCCAACCAAGAGACTGATCTCGTCTGATCTATATATGCAATATGGGACTGAATTGACTACTTTAGCAATATGGTAAACAAACACATTTTTTGAAAGGGAAACAGCTTTATGGTGCATGTGTAACATAAAAGGGTATCATTCTGATCCTCTACGTAGGCATCTCTCTGCCTTCTCCCACAGTATTATCTCAACAGACATAATTACCTCTTGAAAGTCCATAATTGGAAATTTATTCCTTTGACTTATGATTTTTGTCTATTATCAAAATGCAAATGAGGGGGAGGATGCCAGTTATACCTAAATGTGAATGAGTTTATTGAACCCTTACTGGAAGAGCAGGTTTTGATAAAGTGAGACCTGGACACATTATGAAGACACAAAGCTCTGAGGCACAATGGAGAAATTAAAGGTGAGTCTTGGGGCCTACTAAGACAACTTCCCAGTTTTGCCAAGGGATGTCAAGGGGTACCTGGCATCACCTGTCTCTTCAAAATGGGCAATAATAAGGTTTCCAAAGATCTGTGAAGATAATGAATCAGACCACACAGCATGAATCTGCAACAAACAAACAAAAAAACCACACTGTGAAAATGGGTCTGGCCCCATCTTACAGATGTGAATGAGATTTCTACTTATGGCCTGGCGTTAAGGTATTATTTTCTGAACTTCTTTCTCTTCACATCCTTTCTCTAGGTTGTTATTATTAAATGTGTGTTGCAGAAATGAAAGTCAGAATCTTCTTGCCTTTTGAGTTTTTCTTTTTGAAAAACACTGCCCTAAAGAACAACTTCCTGCTCCTTTGCTGAAGTAGACTTATGAGTGTGAGTGTGAATGTGTGTACGTGTGTGTGTGAATGTGAACATGTGTGTGCATGAGTGTGTGTGTGTGTGTGTCTGTGTTGGATCAATGGCTACAAAACACTGCATACAATGTTATGACTTACATATCCATATATAGAAAACATAATATATCTTAAAAATATACATTTATTTTGAAAATATATATTCATATATTTTGAAAATGTATACTTTGGCTGATTCCCCCTTCTCCTCCCCTATTGCTTTCTTTTTAAAAAAAAATAATGTATTTATTACATGGGATGCTCTCTGAATACAAAAGAGGAGGAATACAAGGAGAAGTTTAGGTGATATAAAAATGAAAGATATCAATAAATTTTATTTTTAAAATATTAATCTTTTTCTCTTCATTTCCCTTTTAATATCCTACTATTATCTTGTTTCTAAGGAATTCTAGGTTCCAAAGAGGTCACAGAATGTCCTTTTATAAACTGTGTTGATGCAATACAGTAATTAATAATAATAATAATAATGATAATAATAAAACCTAAGGTAAGTTCCTTGTGTACGAATGTGAGGGAATAATGTTTCAGAAAGCAAACTGCTCCAAGCAGGTGCCAAAGGAAACTCGCCCTCAATATTTTCCTGAGAACTACAAAACAGAGAAAGTTTGTGATCCAACTTGTCACACAGATAGGATTTGAAGAAACATTTCAGCATGAAACTGAATATGGTGGCAGCACCTGCTCTTTACTAATTTCTGAAATTCTTCTAGAAAAAATTATAGAGAGACTTTAAAAAAGAAAGAATACATCTTTAGGGAAAATACCACTGATAATTAAATAAGCCAGGGAAAAACAGAATTTGAAGACTTCCATTTGAATAACTGGTTTTTGCTGCTGTTTGAGAAAAAAGATCATTTAAAAATGAATCTGCATTGGTCTGTCACCAATTATTACTGGCAGCAGGTAGAATACTTTTTCTTTCTTTCTTTTTTTTTTTTTAGAATAGTAAAAGCACCTCAAAATTCTTCATTATTTGTCCTGGGTATGTAGTTAGCTCTCCAGGAACCCCTACTGATTATTTGGGCCTTTTTTTGGAAGCTCTATTTTTCTCTTGTTCTTTGATCTACATGCAGGGAAAATAGGAGGCAGCTATGCAGGATCTCTCTGGGAGCTTCAGAAGAACAGGAAAACAGGATGAGTTTGTGTGTGAGCGGAGAGAATAGTTATAATGCTTTTCAAAAAAAAATATCAGATGAGAACATTTTGCAAACAACAATTGACTCGGTACATCATTTGGCAATCATATGCAGAAACCTTAAAAGTGCTGTTTTAGTGACAGGAATCCCAAAAAAGTTACCAGAGACAGGACAAGTCTCAGCAGTCCTTGAAATTCGGCCATTACACCTTACAACAGCCTTCTGGTATTCTGGGCAGCCGTCCAATAGGCTCCCTTCAGGTGAATCACTGTCTAATCCCTTCCTTCGCTAGTATTCCTTCAGGTTCAGGAAATGAGGTTCTCAGTCTGCCAACCTCACCTACACTTACTAACTTGCAGGTGAGTCATTTCTATTCACAACCGCGGGAGTTGCTCTAGTTTTTCCTGGTCCGGGGAATTTGAAAGGGTGTCCCAGAGGACAACTGCAAGAGGAGCGCCTACCTGATGTGAAGGGGGGAAAGAAAAATGATTCTTTTTCATTTTTTATCAAAAGAACGTCTTTTCTGCTTTTACTAGTCTCGAGACTTATTCTTGACATTCAAGCCTGATGATTTGGAGACACTCAACTGGTCAATGGAAAGTGACAAGGATGACAGGTAAATGGCTGAGGGGTTGGGGGAAATTGACTTGCAAAGGGTGGCTCAGGTTCTGGCTACGACTTTAATTAGGTCTGCAGTTAAATGCGAGTGAAAAATTGGGAGCAGAATAAGAGAAGGAAAAGCTCAGTGCAAAGCACCGGACCACAGGCAGGAGCCACCATTCCCTGGGTTTTTGCCATTTCCAAGACAGCTAAAACATCAAGGTAACTTACAATGGAAACTGCCCCATCTACTCTCAAAAGAAAAGAATGAAGTTTGCTCCTACTAACTGACACTTTACCAGATGAATAAAACCTGAGGTTGCTTTTAGTTTTTTTAAAACTGTTTACAATGGAAAGCCAAAATTACCTCTTATATTACCCAAATCAGTAATTTATTTGAAAAGGAAAAAAAAGACTAAAACTTTTTCCTCTTCATGTCTTTAAAAAAAAAGCCATCTCATTTTATTCATTGTACCATAAAAGAACAGGGTAATCCTCATGCAGATTCTTCAGAAATCATGTTAAAACACGTCAGGTAAGAGTCACTGAGAAAATTACATAGCTACGCCAAAGAGCTTAGCAACTATACCGTGTTTTATTATTTTTTTTTAAGTTGAAAACTTGTCATTTCATTGGGCAATTGAAAAAGCTGACTAAAAATATGAAAAACTCAAAAAAAGCAAACTATACATGTTATATATGTATGTAACACAAACACACACAGCATACTTGTGTATGTGTGTGTGCACACACACGCACGAGCATCAGACAAAAGGAGATACTCTCTCTAGTTACAAAGAGAAGGTTAGTTTCCAGTCAGACCATACACTGGCACTGTTTAAGGTATTTCTAAGCCAGGATTCTTCTTAGGGTCATCTTCATTCATATTTCTCAAACTTATTAAACATTACCTATGTGTAATTTTTTAAACTGACTTTCATTTTCACTTAAGAGACAGCAGAGTGCACTGGGAAGATCTCTTAGGTTGACATCAGAAGACCTAGGTTTAAAGCCACACTCTGACACCACCAATGTGTTTTGTACCTCTCCAAATCTCAGTTTCCTCATCTCCAAGATGAAGGACCAGGTGGATTAAGTGGACATAGATCCCTTCCAGCTTTAAATCTATGGATTATAGTCACAAGGAAGCAAAATCTTTTAAAGATTTCGTTTCATTAATAGACACTATCTACCCCCCCCCAAATAGGTAAAAATTAATAGCTGAAATTAAGCAAAAACATGGGATTCAAGGTATAGTCCATTATACTTTCAATACAAATCTACACACTTAATGCAAGGATCTGGGATCTGATCAGTATGGACCAATTCTTCAAGACTGAGTAGAGAGACAGTCTTCACGAATAGTGCCCAGGCTGGTGCTCAGACAAACCATCACCAGGCCCACACCTGAAGCCTTCCTAGCTTGATAAGATCTGCCAGTGCTCACAATTGCCTTCCAGAGCATAGGCAGTGGAATGGCCCATTAGTGATGCCTTTGGAAGAAGAACGTGACCTACATATCAGAGTGAAATAATCTATAACAAAAGAGAGCAGTTTCTATTGAGCATTCTGTTTTGATAAGGAATTTCAGAAGTCAAAAGGATCTGAATTCAATGGGAACAAAGGTTCACTCACTTCTAGACTTCTTTTTCAAAAAGGAAGTTAGCTGACTTTTCTGAGAGTTCACATTATTATCCTCATAGGCTCACTAGCCATTGTTTCTATAAAGTGTAGGTGGAGAGCCAACATAAATTTTATCTTTAGCCTCACAACATCATTGCCTTTGTGTTTTCACAGTGTCCTAGTCTGAGGTGCAAGAGAAAAAAAGGCAGTTTAGCTACTTTTCTATAGTAATAAAGATAAGCAACATTGATGGAGAACTTTATTTAAATAGCACATTTGGGTCTTATGAAAATGCTAGGACAGGAGTGCTACAGATAAACTACTATACCCACTGTGATGCGGAAACTTTTCCACAGTCATACAACTAGTAAGTGTAGATGGAAGGATTTGAACCTAGGGTCTGTCAGGCTCCAAGAAGGTAGACTCTAAGGGGGAAAAATGATCTAGCAGCCATAAAATGAGATTAGGCATAGTAGTGGTAGTAGTGGTGGTGGTGGTGGTGGTGGTGGTGGTAGTAGTAGTGTTGGTGGTAGTAGTAAATACAGCTAGTATTGATATAGCAATTTAAAGTTTGCTTTACATGTACAACCTCAGTTTTAAAAGACGAGGGAAGAACTCAACAAGAGAAATAGGGCCAAGAGAACTGTTTACATTTAGGGATGTGAGTTGAAGGAGGGGGACTAATTTAGAAGCAGATTACATTTATTTAGGTTTATGGCTGTCTGCCTTTCAGGTTCTGTCTTCCTTCCTCCGTTCCTGGAGTTCTCCGAGTTTCACTTCCCTTCTTTTAAGCAGCAAAGCATCTGTGTGGATAGATGCTCTGTGGATGCCCCAACGTGCACCCCTGAACTCTATGCTCACCATGGGCCGGCTGGATGCTTGCTAGCTCAGGGAATGACAGATGCCTGGGGAGGCTGTCTCGGGGAACAATGAAGAACGCTAAAAGCTATAATTAAAGGCGAGGAAGGGGGCCAGCAAGGAGCCATGCTGGATACTTGGGAAATGAAGGTTAACGGCAGCACTTGGGGCTAGTCACCTAAAAACTGAGGGCAGGGCTTGGCGTCTGTGCCTAGCTTTTCTGCAGCCTTCTTTTGACATTTACGGATCACTGTCGCCAGGTCCTCCTCCTCCTCCTGCTCTGATTGCCCTTTCTTGGTTTTCTTAACCGGTTCAGTGTCTTCTCCCCACACCGAAACCAAATCTTTCAACACCTCCCTTTCTGCACAACTAAGACTCTTTCATGTTCTTGTATGGTTTGAATGACCAGTTCCATGGAAATGACTCTCAAATTTATGCCTCCCATAATATCTTTTTCTTTATCTCCAACCTCGCATCCCTAAAAGTGCTATACCCAGAGTCCAAGATGGAACTCAGAAACTGTTGTAATGTCAAGCTCATCATATCCTAAATTGGACTCCTCATCTTTCCATAAAAGACCTGTCCCACCTCCCAATTTCCCTATTTCTGCTATGCTCTTGGGCACTAATGCTTGAAACCTCAAGAATCCTCTTTGACACTTCTCTCTTCTCACTGTCCCAGTCTCCCACTTCTAATCAGTGGTCAAATCCACTTCCACAGAACCCCACCTCTATCCACTCCTCTCTCTGTTCATCATGACATCTCCCTAATCCAGGGCCTCACCACTTCTTCTTTAGGCCATTGTAATCGCCTTCCTCATTTGAGTATCTTTCCTCTCTCCTCAAATACAACTGCCAGAAATGATCTTATTATCTTATGAATATCTGAACCTGTTACTTCCCTACTCAAAAACATTCAGTGGCTCCCTACTATTGCCAGGATTTAATACAAATTTCTTAGCCTGGTATTTAAAGCCTTCTCCCAACCTGTCTCCAAACCAAGTTTCCAGGCTTATTTCAAAATTTTCTTCATCATGCATTGCATATTCCAGCCAAACTGGATTACTCCTTGTCCCCACACTCAGTTTGCCAACTCCTAAATTCCATGCATCTGTGTGGGCCTTGCCTGAGGCTCCTTCCTTCCTAAACTCTACCTACCAGAATTCTTCTCCATGTTGAAGTCTCTGCTCAGAAGCCACCATCTCAATGAGATCTTCCAGCTTAAATTTCTTCTTCAAATTTTGGTTGGATCTCTCCTTTTCCCATCATACCTTACTTGGTATTATACTTGGTGAATGTCTTACCCCATCACACTTATCCATGGTGCCTTTCACAGCATCCTATAATACATGTTTTTTTTTTAATGAATCTTTTGCATTTGCTTTTAAACTTTACATTCCTGCCCTTCACATAACAGCAGCCAAATCAGCCTTGAGCTGTTCCCTGCCTCATAGGTTAGACCTTCATTCTCACATCTCCATTCCCATTCTCCCTTGCCCAGAACATACTTTCTCCTCATTGTCGTCTTTCAGAAACCACATCTCCTTTTAAGAATCTGCTCAAGTGACAGGTTCTCCAGGAAGTCTGCCCTCATTCCACCAGCCACCAGTCACCACTTTTCCTACAAAGTTCTCTAAAGTACTTTGTCTGGATCACTTTTCATATTTTAACTTTTACCATACATATTTTCATTTGACCTTTCTGTTCCCAGAACCCAAATGGGCTTTATACACAGTAGATGACTGAGAAATTGCATATAATTAAGGGAATGAATAAGAATGAAGGAAATACATAGCATCAACCCTTGCAATGAGTTAGGACATTTTGGCTTTAATGATACTAAGCATTGGTCAAACAGAGGCAGCATTATGGGATAATCAAGAGCATGGGACCCAACTTGCTTTGGGTGATATAAACAGTGATATAACAACTGGGCAAATCTTTTAGATTAACTCTAGGCTTTAATTAAAATGTGATGTCTTACTGACATTACAGGATTGTTTTCTGTCCAAGTACTTCATGTTCCCACTTTATACTTTTTAAAAAACATATATTTTTATATTCTGATGAATAGAGGTAGCTAGGTAGCTCAGTGAATAAAGTGCTAGACCTAGAGTCAGAAAGCCCTGAGTTCAAATTTGGCCTCAGATACTCATGGTGTGATGCTGGGCAAGTCACTTAACCTGTCTGCCTCAGTTTCTTCATCTAGAAAATGGGAACAGTGACAGTACTTACCAGTTGTTTTGAGGATAAGTGAGATAATGTTTATAAAGTGCTTTGCAAATCTTAGCTATTATTATTATTGGGAATGGAAGGGAAGGGAAGGCAAAGCCACTAGATCTGGAGTCAAAGGAACCTGGATTCAAATTCTAACTCTGCCCCTTTTTACCTACATGACTTCAGATAAGTCAATTTAAGACTGTGGAGCCTTGGTTTCTTCTTCTATAATCACTCATTAAGCTCATTACTGAGGGGTAGGGCAGGAGGGAATTCTTATTTAGGTAAGTGGCCTTTGAGGTCCCTTCAAATGCTGAGG